CACTAATGGGAACAGCAGTCAAGACATCAGACGACATATTGCATTGGGCAAATCTGCTGCACAAGATCTCTTTAAAGTGCTGAAGAGCAAAGATGTCTCCTTGAAGACTAAGGTGCGCCCAACCCAAGCCATGGTATTTTCAATTGCCTCTTATGCAGGTGAGAGCCAGACAATGAATAAGGAAGATTGAAGAAGAGTTGATGCTTTTGAGTTGTGGTGTTGGAAAAGACTACTAAGAGTACCATGGTCTGCTAAAAGGACTAACAAATCTGTCCTGGAGGAAGTGGAGCCAGAATGGTCCTTGGAAGTGAAAATGGCCAGACTTCGTCTCACCTACTTGGTCATGTTTTCAGAAGGAACCATTCCCTGGAGAAGGATATCATGCTTGGTAAAGTGGAGGGTCGATGAAGTAGGGGAAGGCCCTCAACAAGATGGATATACACAGTGGCTGCAATGATGGGCTCAGGTATAGCAAGGATCGTGGAGCTGGCACAGGACCGGACAGTGTTTTGTTCTGCTGGACATAGGATCGCTAAGAGTTAGAGATGACTCAATAGCACCTAACAACAACAACAACAACAACAACAACAACAACAAGGTGTTGGGTATTATTTACACCCTTAATTACATATAAATAATAGTATTGGATCAACATGCAGACTGATGCACACTTAGGGTATGGGGTGTGGGAGATAATCTTGGGGATGGGGAAAAGTGAGAAAAGGTGGAGGTAGGGGAAAGGGAGACTGTGGAGGAAGCTATTGTTTTTGCCTGCCTGACATCTGTTGCTCTTTTCTCAGTAACATCTCTCTCATTATCCTTTCTTCTGGTTCCACCTCCACCCTCAAGGGTGGGCAGGGAACGGAAGAGCATCTGGCCTTAGGCTGCAAGGACTTAACTGAATTGAAATATAAAAATAGAGATTAGCAGAGTTATTATATAAAATACAAACAGGCCTATGTTGACTTGGAAAAAAAAATTGAAATATTTTACCTAGACATGAGTATTTATTTGAGTTCAAGTGGAAAGAAGTCAGTAAATTGAGTAGCAAGACAATTACAGTGGTCTTGCTCTAACTTCACAAAGACTGAATCCAGGCCATACACTGGGTGATGGCTGACCAAGGTAAATGGAACAGAAAATCCTCAAGTGCTATTATGGAACTGATTGAATTAGTCAGGAACATGGTATGAGCAGATGTCTTGGTTTTCTTCTGTTGGTAATTTTAATTAGCACTTATTAATGGAAATAGTACAGAAAAAGAAATCCCTTATTTCCAAAATCGTTGGAACCAAATTAATTTTGCAAAGTAAAATTTTTGTGTATAAACAGAAAGCATTGGCAAAGAACATCTCTATCCTTGTACCCACATGTCTTTAATAGTTGCTTTTATGATATATCTATAGCCTTGGTTACTTCCTTTAAATGAATTGTAATCTGTAGTCTGGAAAGAATGAATCAGCACAATCAAATAGCTTAAGCCAGCATTCCTCAGTGCAAGCCACGCTCCAGGTGGATTTCTAATAGCAAAGCACATCTGATTACATCATTTCCTATGGACCAGATAGTGCCTGCAAGGTGACGTGGGGGCCTGGAGAAAGCACAGAACCAGGGGTTCAAGACCTGTACTTTCATCCTACTTGCTAACTTTATGACTTTGGGAATGTCAATTAATCTTTCTGGGGCTCAGTATTCTCACTTGTAAAATGGGGATAATAACACATGCTTTGTTTACCTCAGATGTTGTGAGCATCAATGATAGGACACATATAACTGCCTTTTCTAAACTATGAATCATCTTCCAAAGGTAAGATTCTCTTAATGCAGCCATGATTGCAACAATGATTTAAGCCACAATTGCAATAATGATTTAAGAACTATGTCATACTCATGGTGTCATGGTGACATCAATTACTGGCAGATAAATGACCCTAATTTCATACTTGTACGATTGATATTTTGAAACTCCACATGGATTTTTTTCAATCATGCCATGTTAAGTTTCACTCTGTTTGTTCTTTCCACCTTAGGGTTTTAGCATTTGGAGATAATTTTGGACATGGATTGTGTCGCTGTATTATTTGTATATTTGTTCATCTGTACACTTGATTTCCCTATCTCCTCTATTTTTTATAATTTATGGATTAAAATGTTAAACAATACAGTGGCAAAGACAGTCTTGTTCCTGTCCACTAGAGACCACTTCCAAAATAAACAAGCAGGACCCTCATCTATTACTAGTGTGTTTGCAAAATGGTACAGCCACTGTGGAAAAGAGTTTGGCAGTTCCTCAAAATGTTAAACATAGACCTACCATATGGCTCAAAATCTCACCCCTAGGTTAGAATTAGTGAAAACAGGAATACAAACTTGTAAACCAATGTTCATTAGCACTATTTACAATAACGAAAATTTGAACAATTTAAATGTCTGTCAACAGACAAATGACTAGACATACATACAATGGAATTACTTAGTCATAAAGAGAAATGATGTCCTGATATATGTTACCACATGGATGAACCTGGAAAACACTATGCTGAGTGAAATCAGTCAGTCACAAGAGGATAAATATTTGTATGACTTGACTTATATGATATAAGCACATGTATAAAGACTAAGGTTTATTAGTGGTTCTGGGGGGGGGAGAGTGGAAAGGGGGAGCCTTTGCTTAGAGGGAGTTGAGTTTCTGTTAATAGTGGTGGAATGACTTGGAAATGGATAGTGGTAAAATGATTGATCATTTTATAACATGATAAATGTAATCAATGTCACTGAATTGCACAAATGAAAACTGAATTGGAAAATGTTTTGTTAGAAATATTTTTACCACAATAAAACAAACAAATAAAAAAAGAGTCAACCATCACTACTCCTTGCTACTGGTTGTTTAGCCAGTTATGTAAACTGGGTCTTCCATTTGTGCCAGTCTCCTTCCATTGCCTCACTACCAAGGCTGCCTTTTCAGAGAGGTTCATGCTTTCATCACTGCTGAATCCTCTTTAGAGTTTGCCAATAACTTCTTGATCCCCAAATCCAGAGGCTCATTCTCAACTTCCACCCTCCTTATGCTCTTGAAAAGCATGGCAGTTCTTCCTCTTGAATGCTTCTCTCCTCTTGGCTTCTCTACAGTTTCTCAATGGCTGCTAGTTTCTCTTCTAGCCTTTGAGAAATACCCTCTTAGGCCCTCTTCTAGCTTTAAAGCTGACAAACTAAGTAAGGTTTATCATCCTTGGCACTACTGACATTTTGGGCTGGATAATTCTGGATTGTGGGGGGCTGTCCAGGGCATTGTAGGATGTTCAGCAGCATCCCTGACCTCTATCCACTAGTTTCCAGTAGCACCCCTGCTCTCTCCCTGAGCTGAGACAACCAAAAATGTTTTCAGAGATTGTCAAATGTCTCCTAGGGGACAGTGTGGAAATTACTCCCTCTTGTAAACCATTACTATAGAGAAAGCCAACCACTTACTTGACCAGGCCTGCAACTCCATCTTGGACTTGGTATTGGCAACTTAGTTGGTATTGGCAGGGAGGCATGTTCATGTTAGCTTCCTGGCAGCAACTTTTATAGTTATCAATGGTTATAGATAACCATTAACAGTTATCAATGGTCCCTGCCCAAAATGTAATCCCCTAATGTTCTACCCTCTCCTTGTCATCTCTCTATAGTCCTCTCTACTTCTCCTTGGACCTAGCCATACCTCTCTTTCCTTCTACACCATTCCTCTGTCTCCTTTAGAACCCTTGTTTCACAGGGAGCAAACTCTCCTACTTCCTTAAATCTTTCCAATGTGGCCTCCTTGTCCCAGTGTCCCTTCGCTGGTTCTCCTGAGTGGAGAGTGCCCAGTGTTCTATATAGTCACACTCAATAATAAGGACAAGTATTCTTCTCATGCCCCACTATCAGTCTTGGAAAGCTGGGTGTAAGTTATAGTTCAGTAGGCCCTTCTGCAATAGAGATTCATTTAAAGATACTTCAGTGGCCATGTAAAAATAGAGCTGAATTAAATGTAAATCTTCTTTTATAATTATAAAATATCATATTAAAAATAATAATAGGGGTCAATTTTTTCTGCTGCTTATTAAAGCCATATTTATTACTACACTATCTACACAGAAATAGTTCCTTAGTATTCATTATTTCACTAATTAGTGGTCCCTGGGTAGATCAAAAGGCCAATGCTTGATTATAAAAGGCTGGTAGTTCCAATCATCCCAGAGGCACCTCAGAAGTCAGGCCTGGTGATTTGTTTCCAAAGGGTCACAGACTTGAAAAACCTGTGGAGCACAGTTCTACTCTGCATACATATGGTCACATTAGTCACAATCAACTCAGTGGCAAATAACAATTTCACCAACCAAGAAAATGGCTTAGAAAGACCCAGAAAGTGTTGGGATTAAAACTCATAGTGTGGAGAATTCATTCAGTTGGGTTTCCCTGCACCTATTATCTCTTTCCTCATTTATCTCACAATAGTTTCTTGATTGCTTACTATATGGAAGTCACTGTAAAGACCCAGAGATATATGTGGCTTCATCCTCACACATTTTAAAATGTAGCAGGACACTCATGTCCATGAATAACTATCCTACTAAGTATTAAGTCATTTCCTGTTGGAGACATAGAGATGAAGTGTTGGAGAGGTTTCTGTGGGCTTTCAGCCTCTTTGCACTAATGTCTTTCCTCCACCAACCTGGTGAGACATTCCTCTTTAATTTGGGCTATATGTCCACAAGATTGTAAAGCTTTCTATGACTGATACATAAACCAAAATACCTATAGCACAAATACTGTCAGTCATCAAAATATCACAAAAAATATGGTTCAATTTTAACTTCTAGAAATGGTTCCCCTACAACTTTCATTAATAACTCAAATAATAATACTTTGGGTGATAGGAAAGAATCCCATCCCAAAGGATGACCATTCACACTCAGATAGCAAAGTATTGTTTGCCCTGTTAGTGGGTTTCCTGAAGGTTGGCAGGGACTCCATACCTGGGGAGAGATGTGATTTTGCCCCATTTCTCTATGCAGAACCGCCGAAGCCCATTGCTTCCTCGCAGGGCTGCAAAGCCTTCATAGGGCACACTTGATGTTCCCGTGACAAACTGAAGCAACCTTAGTCTCTGTTCATTATTAAACCGCTCCACTGCGGCCCAGAACCAGCGGATCACAAGATGTCCATCGTGATAACCTAAGTAGAGCAAAGGGAGGGAGAGTGGGAGAAGGTGAAGAAAGGAGGAAGGGAAGAGGGGGAGAGAGTGATGAAATACACATCAGGTATGAAAAGAATGGAGCAGCTGATTTTATTTAATCTGATGATTTGTGTAATGATAGTCTTGGTTGTTACTGCTGTAGACTTGGTCCTAATCCATGGCGATCCCATGCACAATGGTCTTGGGCCTCTGTGATCCATAGGGTGTTCATTAGCTGATTTCTGGATGTAGGCCACCAAGCCTTTCTTCTGAGGCACCTCCTGGTGGACTCAACCCTCCAACCTTTTGGTTAGCAGACTAGCATGTTAATTATTTGCCCTACTCAGGGACTCTAATGATGGCCTTTAGAGAGATCTAAAACAATCTATGCAATTAGGTTAGGATTTTGTTTTTCTAGGGCAAGTTTTAAAACAAAAGCAGATTTAGGAAATACCTTGTTGTTAGGGGCTGTTGAGTTGGTTCTGACTCATAGTAAGAATAACAGAACAAAATGAAGATGCCATATTCACAATAGTAGGTATGTTTGAGTTCATTGTTGTAGCCATTGTGTCAATCCATCTTACTACAGGTACTCTTTTTCTCTGACCCTCTACTTTACAAAGCGTGAGGCCTTTCTCCAAGGATTGGTTCCTCCTGATATATCCAAAGTAAGTAAGACAAAGTCTCATTCTCCTTGCTTCTAAGAAGCATTATGGTTGTACTTCTTTTGAAACAAATTTGTTCCTTCTTCTGGCAGCCTATGATATATTCAATATTCTTTGACAACATCACAATTCAAATGCATCAATTCTTCTTCAGTCTTCCTTTTTCCTTGTGCAGCATTTGCATACATTTGAGGCAATTGAAAGTACCCTAGCTTGGGTCAGGCACACTTTAATTATCAAAGAGACATCTTTGCTTTTTAAAACTTTAAGGTTGTTGTTGTTGTTATGTGCTGTGAGTCGGCTCCAACTCATAGCGACCCCTCCTTGGGTTTCCAAGGCAGTATCACGATGGAAGTAGATTACCCAACCTTCCTCCTTCCTTCTGAGGAGTGGCTGGTGGGTTTGAACCACCAGCCTTCTGGTTAGCAGTCAAGTGCCTTAGCCACTATGCTACCAGAGCTCCTCACTTTAAGGTAGACTTTTTTTTATTATTATATAAATTGTGATTTGGGTGCAAATTTACAAAGCAGATCCATTTTACTCTCAACATTCATGCACATTTGGTTTCCTGGCCCCAATTACAATCCTCAACCATAAAAAGCTCTCCTCCATCTTTTCCCTGAGACTATCCCTTCCCTGTGCCCTTCTGATCTACGCATTCCTGTCTGTCTAACTTTCCTTCTATGCAAATGCTGCCCTTCTGATATCTCATGGTTGATTGATCTAAGGGTGCATCTTCCTAGGGTTGTTGTTTGTTGTTATGTGCCATCGAGTTGGACCTGACTCATAGTGACCCCTCCTTGGGTTTCCGAGGCAGTATCACTATGGAAGTAGATTGCTCAACCTTCCTTCTGAGGAGTGGCTGGTGGGTTTGAACCGCCAGGCTTCTGGTTAGCAGTCAAGTGCCTTAGGCACTATGAGTGCATTTCCCTGGGGTAGGTGTTCTGCTTGTAGTTCTTTCTACTGTTTGGCTGAGAGCTAATCCGCAGACATGAGTCCAGTTCCACATCTGTAGGATAACCTGGGCGATAGCCTCATGGATTCTACCTGTCTCTATCTAATAGTAATTCTGGTCATTTTTGTGTTTTTGAATTTTGTTCCACATTTTTCCTCCCATTCTATCCAGGATCTCCAATTTTGGTCCCTTTCTGAGTGGTTGGCATTGGTAGCCAGGCACCATCTAGTTCTTCTTGTCTTGGGATCATGAAGTCTGAGGTTCCTGTAGTCCATCATATCCTTGGACTAATTTTTTTCCAAATGACTTTGATTTTCTTTACTCTTCTTTGCTCCAGATGAGGGGAGACCAATAGTTAAATTTTAGATGGCCGCTCAAAAGCTTTTAAGACCTCAGTTGCTACTTACCAAAGTAGGATGTAGAATAAGATTTTTATTTACTATGTTGTGCCAATTGAATATGATGGCCCCTGAGACTATAATCTTGAGGGTGCAGGCCTGGTGACTGTCTCCCTCAAGGTGTTTGGTTGTCTCTGAGAAACTACTCTAACCTTGTCTCCTGTTATTTCTGTAATGTATATGGATATTTGTGTAGCACAAGTATATATGTAAAACTATCTTCAGCCAAATCTATCCTTGGTCTTGGGTATATTACTGTTTGCCTACCCACACCTGATCTTCTCACCTATCTGTGCCTTTACCCATAGCCTAGTGTTTGCTGCCATTTAAAGTGGTCTTTTGTAGAAGATGTGCCCAATGCAATATGTCATTTAATATCTTGAATATTGCTTCCATGGTTGTGGATCCAAGCAAAATTAAATTCTTGACAACTTCAATGTTTTCTCTGATTATCATGATGTTGCTTATTGGTCCAGTTGTGAAGATTTTTTTCCCCCTTAAGTTGAGGTGTAATTCATACTGAAAATATAACCAAAAAAAAAAAAAAAAAAAACCCAACACACTGCCATCGACTCATAGCGACCCCTCCTTCAGTTTCCAAGGTGGTATCACTACAGAAGTAGATTGTCCAACCTTCCTTCCAAGGAGTGGCTAGTGGGTTTGAACCTTCAGCCTTCTGGTTAGCAGTCAAATGCCATAGGAACTATGCCACCAGAGCTCCCACTGAAAATATAGGTGAGTATAAAAGGGCTTTTTGTTCGGAGGTATGTTTTCATTGAGTTTTGCTTCCATTTAAACAATTGGGATTCCACTAATCATTTCTTGTTTCATATAATGTAGACAAGGAATTGATAGTCTTGGTATAGAGCTTTGGGATTCTTAAGAAACAAACCCTCTATGGATACAGTATTTCATTATATTTGCCTATTTGTTTTGCTTGGATGCCTTTGCTTTGATATACCACAGGAAAGTCTAAGGCTTAAAAAAGGCTGGAGGCAAATGACAAACTTGACAAACAAAGATGGTGATGGTGGGCTCTCCAACATGTATGGTGTGTGTCTCTGGAGAAGCACTGAGACATGCTGGACCCATGGGAGAAGTATTTGGTTCCCTCTCATAGGGAAATCAATCTTGAGTCTATCAATTAAGGTATAATGATTCACTACTATCCACAAGTACAAGAGGTTCTCAAAGAAGGGAGAAAGCTATGTGGTCTTGGTAGAAATAGAGAAAACTTTACAAAGAAAGGAACATGAGTTAAGTTGGTGCAGGATTTGTACGAATGGAAGTAATGAAGGAGGACATTTCTGGCAGGGGAAGAAAAGAATAACAAGATAGAGCAAGAGAGATACAGGGAACAGCAAGCTGACTACCTTAGAGGGAAGATCTGGTGAGGACCAAAAGGAAAACTGCTGTGGGCCTCATAGGGCCTTACCAGCCAGGCTGAGGCCTTCTGGCTCTCACCTTAGGTAAGTGGTTTTCAAATGATGCTAGAAGGATTGGAGGTCCCATTGTGGCTTCTCATGGTTGAGCATATTGGGGAGATGAAGGAAGCTGAGGTGACAGGCCTCTAACTCTCTATTTTATTAGTTGGGGTTTTTCTGAAATTATTTATATGAAGAGTAGGTTTTGAGGCTAAAAAACTTTTGAAACCTCTTTTAAAAGTAGTAAAGAGCTTGTTTTGTGGATAAGGAAGTGATAATAATGAAACTAGTATTGAGCTCTGGTAGTGTAGTGCCTAAGGCACTTGACTGCTAACCAGAAGGTTGGTAGTTCAAACCCCACCAGCCACTCCTCGGAAGGAAGGTTGGGCAATCTACTTCTGTAGTGATACTGCCTCGGAAACCCAAGGAGGGGTTGCTATGAGTCAGGTCTGATTCAACAGCACATAAGAACAACAAGAAGTGTTTGAGTGGGATCCATGCCTCTTTTGTTGTTGTTGTTATGTACCGTCGAGTCAGACCCGACTCATAGTGACCCCTCCTTGGGTTTCCGAGGCGGTATCACTACGGAAGTATATTGCCCAACCTTCCTTCCGAGGAGTGGCTGGTGGGTTTGAACTGCCAGCCTTCTGGTTAGCAGTCAAGTGTCTTAGGCACTACGCTACCAGAGCTCCTCCAAGCCTCACAAAAACAAATTCAAAATGGATTAAGGACCTAAATGTGCAAACAAAATCATAAAATTCTTAGAAGAAAATGCAGGGACAATGCTGTGGGCTAGCTTTTAAAAATGGATTATCTAATATAATAACAATAATAAAAATGGCAAAAGTCAAAATAAATAATTGAGACCTCATAAAATTAAGAACTTTTGTTCATCAAAAGGCTTTACCCCAAAAAGTGAAAAGACAAAGTACCAAGTGGGAGAATATCTTCGGAAATCATATATCCAATATGAATCTAATAACCAAGATATATATAAGACTTTGACAACTTAATAACAAAAATACAATCCAATTATAAAATGGTGAAAGGACCTGAATAGACATTTCACCAAACAGGACATTCAAATGGCCACCAAACATATGAAAAGATGCTCAATGTCATTAGCCATCACAGAGATGCAAATCAAAACCACCGTGAATATGCATTTCACTCCCACTAGAAGGTTGGGCAATCCTACTTCCGTAGTGATACTGCCTCGGAAACCCAAGGAGGGGTCGTTATGAGTCGGGGCCGACTCGACGGCACATAACAACAACAACAAGGATGGCAAAGATGAAACACAAAAACAAAACCCCAGAAAATAACAAATTTTGGTTATTAATAACAAAATTGTTTGGTAAGGATGTGGGAAATTCCACCCTTATCCATTGCTGGTGAGAATACAAAATGGTACAGCCATTATGAAAACAGAAGTACCATATGATCAAGCAATTCCACTCCTAGGTATATACCCCAAAGACTGGAAAGCAGAGACTCAGAGACTTGTACACCAATGTTCACTGCAGCACTATTTACAATAGCCCAAAGATGGAAACAACCTAAATGCCCATCAATAGGTTAATAAATAAAAAAATGTAGTATATACATACAATGGAATACTGTTCAGTCAATAGAAGAAATGAAGTCTTGATATGTGCTATAATATAGATGGAGCTTGAAGACATTATGCTGAGTGAAATTAAGTCACAAAAGGACAAATATTATATGACCTCACTTATATAAAAAGACAAGGAAAGGCAAATGTATAGAGACCAAAGTTTTATGAGCAGTTACCAGGAGTGAGGTTGAAGGGAAAGGGGTTATTGGTGATGGAAAAGTGGCATTGATTAAGGGTAGGGTTGCACAGTCAATTATTTTAAGTGCTGTCAATAACTTGGAAAAAGTTGAACTGGCAAATTTGTGTGATAGATATATTTATAACAATGACAAATAAATAAATAAATTAAATAAGACTAGCTGCCGAGTCTGGTTATGTATAACCAAAAATCTCATGGGATTTGGTTTAGAGGTTTCATGAGACATCCCAGTTACTTGGCCTAATTATATGTTTAGTGCTTCTGTTCTACCTCCTAGTTTTTGCATAATGCCTGTCTTGAAGGCTTGCAAGCAGTCGTTCAAGGCATGACAATTGGTCTCTGTTCGCCTGGAGCAACAGAGGAAAATAGTAAGGAATAGGATGAGGATACGGAATATTTGGCTAATTGCCTCCATGAACATCTACCTCCTTTGGTGTGAGACCAGAAGAGTTGGATGGTGCCCATCTACCACTTTGAATATTTTGATCAAAGATAGTATAGAAGAACGCTGATCAAAATGGGGAAACTGCAGAAGAGAATTTAAAATTCTCATAGACTCCAGAATTTTTAGCACCAAGGGGACTAGATGAAACCTTGAAACTATTACCTTGAGATCATCTTTAAAGCTGATACCAAAATATCCTCTGATGTCTTCTTAAAACTAAACAATAGTTTAGCTCAACTAGTAAAAAAATGTCTGTCTTGAGCATTATGCTCTTTTAAGAACTATCTATATGGGATCAAAGTGACAACAGCAACTTGAAACATTAGACAGGAACCTTAGGGGGCAGTGAGTTTATGTTAATGGTGGAGGAAGAATTCAGAAAGGGAGGGTGAGAATATTTGCACAACTTGAAGAATGTTATCAGTATCACTAAATACATATAGAAACAATTGATTGGTGCATGTTTCTCAGTGTATATTCTCAACAACAAAACAGAATTTTTTTTTTTTTTAAAGAGAAAACTCTGGAGTAGGGGGAAGAAAACAGTGTTTTGGAAGGATCTGTTTGGCAGTGTGCAAGATAAGTAGCTAGGAAGGGTTAGAAATTGGATTCAGAGAGACCACAGTTAGAAGCATGTTCCAGAATCCCAGGATTGAGGTGAAGAGTGCTTTTGAGAAGAAGCAAGATATACTTCTCTGATAGCTTGCCTGTGGACAGCATATTCTCTATAACACACCTACATAGAGTTAGATCAGAGACTACCAACAGGGGGTCACTGAAGAAAAGTTCTTGTTGGAGTTGGAGGAAGGCATGTAGAAGCATCTGCTTTGCACATATGTTGAAGTAAGGCCAAGCTTATTGTGGCCTTCAGAAAGTGATGAATTTTATTTGTGATAGTAGTAGCATCACAATCCCTAGGAACTCACCTCCCCGGTACTCAGTGTTATTCCGCCAATCATTGAGGTCTATTTCTGCAGTACCAGCTATCACCAGCTCTAGCTCCCGGGCATCAAACACGGAGACAAGCCTGGAGTCTACAACCTGAAGTACAAAGTAGGCTTCAGCACACAAGTCCAAACATATTGACTAAAATTATTCCCCCAGGCTGGCTTTGAGCCAGAAAGATTATGCTCATTATGATTATTTCTGTGGGTTAAGCTGGGGAACTGACCATCCATTATAATTTGTTTTCAATGTGCAACTGTGTTGACTTGTACATTTTAGAACACACCCATTCATGAACTAGAAACTGAAAACTGTCTCACACTTTTTACTACCTCTGATACTCCCTCTCTGAATGAGATTATAAGCAAACTTTACCCAACTTTCTGGAGTCACATTTGAGTTGCCAAGCAACATTGCATTTTAAAGGCAAAAAGTCCAAATTAAATCACTTTGAATGACTTCATAGCTATTAAGTCACTTCACTCAAAATGTGTTCTCTCTTTCATAGAAGATGATGACTCATTTCCTGGGGTTGGGCACTATATAGTAAAATGCCTGTATTTTTCCTCACTCTCTACCTCACTTCTTTCTTCCTTCCTTCAGAGCTCTGGAGGACCTGCTTGGTAGAGGGCTTTTTGCTCTGGCTTTAAATCTTGTTGGTGAAAGTATAAGACATCTGTGGTGGGTCCCATTTTAAAAATAAACTAATGGTGGACAAACCAATGACCAATATTATTCTCCAGGATGGCAAGGAAAGAAAACCTTCCAAGCCCAAACCCTGAGAAAACATTTGCAGCTTCTTGTTTTCTAAACTGGAAAAGTTCCAGAAGGTTGTTTTTCATGCACAGGAAGGCAAGGATCATTATCCTCTTGATTTATGGATGACATGGCACAAAGTAACACTGTAACAAAATAAAAATCTAGTAAGCGAGGACAATACCCTCCATTGCCTTCTTTTTCCTTTTTCTTTGTTTGATTGAATGAAAGAAAACACCACCTGCACTCATCGTTACAGGTGATGCTTGTTTTCACACCTGGAACACTAGTACCACACCTACACCAGTTTTGTGAGAGCATTTTCCACCTACAGCAAGAGTTGTGTTTTCCCAGAGAACTTTGGTTTCTCATCCATCGACTCCACTTTGATGAGCAAGGATGAACTCTTTGCCTGCTTGGCTCCTCCTCTCCTCTTTTGTCACCAACTGGGTCTTGGTCCCCACAGAGAGCCTTGTGGGGCAGAGGCCCAATGATGAAAGATGCTTGTCCTTGTGTCTTCCACGGCTTGGCCAAGACTCACCTCATAGAAGCCTCGCACCAGTGCCTCCGTCTGCTGCACCACACCACGTTCCACCCGCCACTTCACCATCCTCTCAATGTACTCCTTCTTGTTCTTCTCTGTGACCTGAGTGTTCGCGCCTCCAGACTTCAATTCCCTTTCTGTTACCTTGTAGGAAAATAGGAAGAGTGAGATGGCTTATCAACTCAGCTGGTCTCCCTGTGGTACATCTTCCATTTTAAGGAGTGGTTTATATGCAAAAATCCTCTTTACACTAGTTCAGCATTAACCAGTTGCCATCGAGTCTATCCAGAAGCACCTCAGAAGAAAGGCCTGGCAATCTGCTTCTGAAAAATCAGGCATGCAAACTTTACAGGGCACAGGTCTACTCTGCTGCATATGGGGTTGCCATGAGTTGGATTCAAATTGATAGCAACTGATTTTTATTGATTATAAAATATTGGCCAGTTGTAAAATACTACTTGCTATCCACTATTCATAGGTGCTCTGGTAGTGTAGTGGCTAAGGCTCTTGACTGCTAACCAGGAGGCTGGCAGTTCAAACCCATCAGCCAGTCCTCAGAAGGAAGGTTGGGCAATCTACTTCCATAGTAATACCACCTCAGAAACCCAAGGAGGGGTCGCTATGAGGTGGGTCTGACTCGACAGCACATAACAACAACATCCACTATTCATATTCCTTAGAAGGTCTGGTTTTTATTTTATTTATATATTTATTTATTTTGAATGTACCCTCCCCTCCTATCCCACCCCTGGTAACCAATAAAGAAAATTTCCTTCCATATATAAACCTTTCCTTGACTTTTTACAATAGTGAACTAATATAATAATTGTCCTTCTGTGATTGACTTATTTCACTCAGCATAGTGTAGAAGCTCTGGATTTTAGCTGCTCAAAGTACTGCCCAGTTAAAGATTTTATTCCCAACTCCCCTTGTGGTGCAGTGCCTAAGGCATTTGACGCTAACCAGAAGGCTGGTGGTTCAAACCCACTAGCCACTCCTCAGAAGGAAGGTTGGGCAATCTACTTCAGTAGTGATACTGCTTCAGAAACCCAAGGAGGGGTCGATATGAGTCAGATCCGACTCCACAGTAGTGAGTCTGTGTCTCTGTCATATGAATGTATCTATAAGACAAATTCCTAGTGTGATATTTAAGGTTGTGTGTCAACTTGGCTGGGCCTGGTTTTGAGTGGCTGGGTAGCTAGATGTAATTATTCCCCATGATGAGACTGGTAATCAACTCCATGGTGCAATTTACTGGAGCGGCTGAGTAGCTGCCTTAGGGATGTGATCTGCCTCCAGTGTATAAGAAGAAGCATTGAGAAAGGTCTCTGGAGCTTTTTGGCATGCTTGGATCCTGCGTGGAGCTGAGTCTTCATTCAGCAGCCTGCCATATTGTCCGCCAATTTTGGGACTGTCCCAGGACTTGTATTATAGGTCTGCCATGTTGTTGGGTAATCTTGGGACTGTGCCATTTTATTTGTTGACCTTGGGTTTGTTCTGGTGGCATAGTACCTAAGGCATCTGACTGCTAACCAGAAGGCTGGTGGTTCAAACCCACCAGCCACTCCTCGGAAGGAAGGTTGGGCAACCTACTTCTATAGTGATATCACCTCAGAAACCCAAGGAGGGATTGCTATGAGTTGAATTCAACTTGACAGCAGTGTGCTGCTGCTGCTGCTGCTGCTGCTGGGTTTGTCAGCCTCAGCAGCCAGCAGCTGCCTGAGTTAAGAGAAGCCTCCAGCTTCAGTGGGCTGGGAACAAGAGTCAGAGCTGAAGCCCAAGGTCGAGGGACTTTCACCCAGCCCCTAGAGCTGGCACTCTGAACTCAAACTCTAGTCTCCTAAACTGTAAGAGAATAAATCCCTGTTTGTTAAAGCCACCCATTTGTGGTATTTGCAGTTAGAGTAACACTAGAGGACCAGAACACCTAGACACAGATGCTGAGTCAAATGCATGTACTTAAACTTTGGATAGATACTGAAAGGTTGATTTCATAGAGTCAACCAAACTTCTACTTACTTCTACCTACAATGTAGAAGAGTGCCTGTTTCACAGTACCATCTCCAAAATAGATTGTTAAATTTTATGATTCTTGACATATTAATAATGAAAAATTGTATCTCATCATTAGTTTTATTTACATTTTTATTGTGAATGAGGATGAGTATCTCTTTTGGAGATACTTCCTTTTCAGGAAACTATTCATGTTTTTTACTAATTTTCTACTGAATTGTTAATTATTTCTTCTTGATCACTTTCTATATTGAGGGAAATGACCTTTTGTCTGTATTATGTATTATAATTTAAAAGATATTATACCATTTTTAACTTTGGTTATGGTGTATTTTGTCATGCAGAACTTAAAAATAATTTTTGTGGAGTTTCAAAATGGAGTATTGTCAGTAATCACCACGTTAATTCCCTCTAGCATCTTAGTGCTCAAAAAACTAGATACAGCAGTTTGAATTAGGGATTCTGGTGCTCTGAACAGCTCACCGAGTCAGAGTGCACCAAACTCAGGGGAGTAGAATTAGAAAGGAGAAAGGGACAGGGGAAAAAATTAACAAGATCAGAGGATCTACCCTGTGGAGCACCGACAGGCAGCTGAGAAAGGCCACTGGAGACCTCCCTGGGGAGTGCCAACCAGCAACTGAGAAAGACCATCTGAGACCTCCCTGGGTTAAGGAAGAAGACACACCACACCAACATACCAGCAATCACCCCAAGGATCTACCTTCAGCACCTGATTTTATCGGTAACTTGGGTTGGCTAGGTGCAAATGGGCATGCCAGTGCCTCTGAAACCTGAGCAGAGAGTTGACTGCTGTTGCAAGAGGATGGGCCTGGGGAGGTGCCCCCACAGTGATCACTGACCAGGCTTGGGTCAGCTTGTGGCACTAAGGGGCCTGCACCTGACTTTGTCAGTAATATTGGGACCACTGGGTGCAAACAGGCACTGGCCTGGCTCCAGCCCCACTGAAACTAAGTGGATCTTTGGCACTGTGGGTGGGCAGACCCAGAGAGGAACTCCCACAGTGGATTGTGGAGTAGGGCAGTTGTCTTGGGTCAGCTTTCTGGTGCTGAGGGGTCTGGGGAGTGGGGTTTTTGCATGTGTCTGAGCCTGCTGGAAAGTGGCAACCCCCTAACAACTGGAGTCTTTCCTGAACTTGAGCTGCTGGCCTGTGAATAACAGTACAACATTATCATTAGCAGCCCACTCAAAGCCCTAGAAACTGCCCCTAGCAATGGGGAACTTTTCTTCTTCCTCTCTTCTGCTCTCACCCTCTCTGTCAATAAACTCACTCATCCAGTAGAAGAAACCACATTCAGCCACCATAATACCTCCTGGTTCAAATTCTACATCCTCTTTATGACAAACAGAAACCCATATCCACATTCCACACAGTGATTCCATCATCACAAAGAAACTGCAGAGCAACACAGCATACCTGAATTAATAACTAAAAAAATAAAATACACCAGCTTCACCTTTTCAAAATATTAAATAATAAAACCAAGACAAAACAAATCAATACATAACCAATAGTTAAAGACAACTTCAAAATGTCTAGGAAACAACAGGCAACCTCAAATCAAACAAACAAACAAACAAACAAACAAACAAAAACAGGACAAGGCATTAGAAGCAAAACCACAAACAAAGGTCTCATTATACATGGAGGAATAGGAGGCGATAGAATTATCTGAGAAGGAATTTAGAAGATATTTTTATAGAGCTTTACAAGAGCCTAAGGAAACCCCAAACAAAAGCAAGGAGAACACAGACAGTTCCCTGGAAGAACTCAGGAAAATCATTCAAGAGCAAAATAAAAGATTAATGCACAATCAGAACTCATACAAAAACAGCAGTTAGAAATTCAGAAGATGAATACCAAAATTACAGAATTACACAATACAGTAGAAGCATAAAAGAGTATGTTAGAACTGCCTGAAGAATGCATACCCCAATTAGAAGATAAATGCCTGGACACCAACCTGTATGAAGAAAAATCAGAACAAAAACGTAAGAGAAATGAAGAGAACCTAAGAATTATATGGGATGACATGAAAAGAAACCACTTATGACTCACTGGAATTCCAGAACAACAAGAGGAGGAAAACAACTGGCAAGAAAATTGTGGAAGACCTGCTAACAGAAAACTTCCCCCATATCATGAAAGAAGAAAAGATATTTTTCCAAGAAGCTCATAGAACCGCACCCAAGATAGATCCCACAAAGAAGGACATTAAATGGTGCTGAAAGTTGACAAAGAAGACATTATGGTAACAAATATTTATGAAAGTGCTACAAAATACATGAAGCAAATATTAACTGAATTAAAGGGGACAATAGACAACTCTACAATAGTTGTAGGAGACTTTAATATACCACTTTCAAAGAGGGACAGGTTAACTAGAAAAAAACTCAACAAAGATACAGAAGAACTCAACAATACAATCAACCAACTCAAACCCATAGACATATACAGAGCATTTCACCCAACAAAAGCACAATTCACATTCTTCTCCAGTGCACATAGATCCTTCTCCAGAATAGATCATATGTTAGGACATAAAACAAGCTTCAATAAATTCAAAACCACTGAAATACTACAAAGCATCTTCTCGGACCATAATGCTATAAAATTAGAAATTAATAATAGGAAGATGAAGGAAAAAAACTTTAAACATATGGAAGCTTAACAATTCACTGCTCAAAAACTACTGGGTAATAGAACAAATAAAAACTGAAATTTAAAAAAAAATCCTAGAAACAAATGATAATGAAGATACATCATACCCAAACCTATGGGACACAGCAAAAGCAGTACTCAGAGGACAGTTTACAGCAATAAATACATATGTCAAAAAAGAGGAAAGAAACAAAATCAACACTCTAACTCATCAACTCCAACAACTAGAAATAAAGCAACAAAAGAATACTACAGTATGTAGAAGTAAGGAAATAATAAAGATCAGAGCAGAAATAAATGAAACAGTAAACAAAACAAAACAAAAAAACAGAGAAAATCAACAAAACAAAAAGCTGGTTCTTCAACAAGATTAATAAAATCGACAAACCACTGGCAGATCTAACAAAAGAAAGGAAAGAGAAGATCCAAATCACAAGAATTGTAAACGAAA